GAGTAATTTAAAGTCTGTTGGCTGTGACTCCATCCTGGAGAGAAATATCAGCTGTGCTGCTGCTATCATACCTTTGTTTATAGTTGCTGGAGATCGGCCTGTTTTTCCAGTGTAGTCCTGTTTCTCTGACGGTGACTGGCTGGATGTGCTCTCTTCATCCTCTGACATGGGAGCTGGCTTGGAGCTTGTCTGCCTGGCTGTGTGTTTCCTGGATGGGGCCGCCATTTACAGCTGCTTTTTGAATCTCTGCTTCTGTCTCCTTGAACCCCAGTCGGCCTCAGCACATGGTCGCTCACACTGAGCCTGGTTCTGCTGGAGGTTTCTTCCTGTTAAAAGGGAGTTTTTCCTCTCCAATATCGCTACATCAATTGTTGGGGTCAGGGATTGCTTTTGAGTAAATGACTGAATGCAATCAACTGGTTTCCTTAGATAGAAAACTGTGCATCAATTTAACTGTATGATCTGGTAACTGTAAAGTGCCTTGAGATGACATTCTGTGAATTGGCACTATATAGATAAACTGAATTGAAATTAATTAAACTAAAGGTCAATTATCAGTTCTAAAACATCTTTAGACAAACCCCTGTTGATGCTTGGAGAACAACCGTACCAGATTAGGGCCTCATAAGGAGTTTTCACACATGCAAGCTACAACCAGTTTACCTTGCAAGCAAGATTAATTGTTGTAAGATTTGCAAACTCAGTAGAATTCAAATTGAACTACACATATCAATCTGGCTTATCCCAGGTTAGTTGTCTTACTTTGTGTTGATTAGCTTGGTTTATGTTACATTTTGTTTCATCTTTAGTAAAACAAAACACATCAAAGCCCCATATTTTCTTTCAACCTGTGCATAAACATTTATCACAAGGACCAGCCCAAACCAGATTGAATGAATTTACACATTTACCAAACTACAGGGCAGCTCCCCATCAGTTGTGACCTCTTGTGACAACACACTTCTCCTTATTCTTCTTTCTCTGCTATAAAAGTGGTGCTCTCTGTTCCTCATTTTTAACTAACAGCAGCTAAACCAGCTGCCGTGACAGCTGTTTCTGTGAACAACAAGCTCACACGCTCTTTTTGGTATCGACATATAACCTGATTTTGTAACTTAAAGAAGACAAAGAAGGTTCTCACAGCACAGTTATGAGGTATAATAGTAGTTACCAACAGGAACCAAACCCTGTTGTCTGGGTGGTTCTTAACCTAAACCTGTTAACAGGAGCCTCCAGGGTAGGTACATGGTCAAAGCTGCCTTATAAAGGGTTTGTCACCTTCTAATTAAAGTGTATTTCAATTTTGAGGTTCTAAGAGTACTTTCATGATTTGTATGGGACTTCTTAACTTGGGATCTATGTCAACCGGGCTGTATTTCAAATAGACCACTTTACAGTACTATGAGGGTCCCTACAGAGAGCAGGAAGAAATATTATAGGATTTATTACCAGGTTCATAAAACAGTATCAGCTGGGTAACTTTGGAATACCAACAGGTATTCCAAAGGTCTACCAAGGTCTACCATTATGGTCTACCAAGAGAGTAAATAGTCTATATTGTAACAGAACTTTTTGTGCTGTACCTAGCTATTGGGTATTTCAGGGGTCAAGACTATTTCAATGAAAAGAATCATCTTGTGTTTTAATGGTATTTTCAATGGATATTAAGTTAATTACACAGTTAACTGGAATATTTCTAATGGGAACCACAGTGCATTGTAAGATCTCTTACTTTAGGGTACTCGCCAACAAATATTTGCCATGTTTTGTGTTGTGCCATTTTTACTAGACTTGTTTATCAGTAGAACTGCATATTAATTTTATGTTTTCTGTATTTTATTATGAACAACTTCCTAAAATGTATTTGAATATTTGAATTTGTCACTTCAAAAGTTAAAATAAAAACCTGATACCAGGTACGTCAGAAGTTTTCTGCACTCTTCAAAACACAGCATGAAAGGCACAAACAAGTCACACCTCATTATAGATACTCTGTAATATTGGAGCCATGCGGTCCTTTGGTGAAGACTCGTCTTGCTTTATGTAGTGAGGACCATAAATAAATAAATTAAACTTTATTGATCTCACAATGAAGAAATTAACTCTCTGCATTTAACCCAACTCCTCTGGAGAGCAGTGGGCTGCCACTCGCAGCGCCAATCAGGGTTAAGGGTCTTGCTCGGAGACCCAGAGTGGCAGTGTGTGGGACTGGGTTTCAAACTCAGAACCTATGCTCTACCCAGTCCCCTAATGAGGTTCCCTGCACTGATTTTCAGTCATTTCCCACCCTTTAAGTGCTAACATGTATCTATGCCTGACATTTACCCTAAACCTAACATTACCAGTCCTAGTGATGGGTTCATGAGGTGTTTCAACACATACTGTTACTGAATACTGACACCTGCTGGACATTTAAAATCACTACACCCAGCCTCTTTGACAGACTAAACGGACCTATTTAATGACCTATAATATGATTTAAGGTATTGTTGCTATATTATTCCATATCTTCAATAAAAAAATGATAATTTAGATGCAGTCCATAAAAGTGAATATATAACAGGAACATTTAAGTCAACATATGAATAAGGATGTTTGTGGGGTAGGATTTATTTAAAATAACTACAGTAAGAACAGCAAACTTAGAGGCATTTTATTTATTTAGTTGATTGATAGCTGAAAGGAACATGATGATACAATGGAAATTTAAAACAAATATGAGATCAAAATGGTCCCACATGCCTGGAACCTCCCCTTTGCCTTGAGGCTGGTCCATATTTCTTAATTTCATGATCAACCGCAAAAGATCAGATTTTTTTTGGCAGATGCACTTTAAAACACATTGTAGTGTATCAGTCAGTTTGAAGCAGCTTCTGTATTGGTCACATGACTTTCTTGAAACAATATGTGCACCGACAGAGGGCTTTGCTGTTAGAGCTCAACATGCGCCTGGGTAACTGACTGAAAATAAAAGACCAAATATCTAGACCTTTAATAGGGAAACATTTTATTCTGAGCCATGGAGTAATATTAAAGTCAATGAAGAAACATAATGTTTGTGTTGAATAAAAAAAGAAAAACTTCCATATACCCACCATAATATTCTAAAGCCTTATTGAGAAATTCACAGTATGAAATGGACAGAACTCTGAGATCGCCAATAGTTTGGCTCTAACTACCTACTTATATTCACCACTGGCTGCAGTGGCTGTTAGGACTCTTAAATGTACAGAAAGACAGGCACTTACAGGCTAAAGGCTCATATTATCATAAACCTGACAGGGTTTGAAATCAATGTTCACTCAGGTTTAATTTCAAACCATCTTAACTCAACTTTAGGTTTTTGCTATTGTCTCTTTCAGACCAACAAAACACAAAGTTGATAAATCGATGATAACGGATCATTCCTCAGTGAGCACTAAACGATGAGCTGTCAGGTCCTGCGTCCAGTTCCTCTGTAGACTCTGTATGACCGTGTCCCCTTGATCTTCAGGCCTTCTTCTGTTTCAGCATCTCCATATACATGCGAAGCGACTTCTGGATGGATTCTTTGGTGATGAAGTTGACAAAGTTCTGGATGTCGGCCTCTCTGTTGGACCTTAGCTTCTCAATGGTTGGCTTCCTCATCATGGACTTGGTGATCTGTCTGGCGTGTTCTGCGGGTGAACAGGAAACTCACAGTTATTGCTAAAACTTTTGTTCAGGACAGATTTTCCACTTTGTGTTAAGATAATTCATTCTGATTTTCTATCATGAAGTTTCATCCCTAAATCACAGAGAGAAGATTAAAACCAACCAGGCTCGATTATTTATGACATCACTATGTGACGTGAACAGTGGTGCCACCAGAGGGTGGCCACGGCAACCCTGTGCAATGCCCTGTGCACCCCATTCACCACTCTAACTTGTAGCATTTCATCCTATCATGCACAGCCAGCGATGTAACATTAAAATTCACACAATAAACCAAGATATGATTAGGTGTTTACTGAAGTCTTTATGATTTCTACAGGCAGGTTTACCACAATAGTAGATTCAAACCCTGAAATTATGGCTTTTAGTTTCAGCGTGCCATCCCAAGGTTTTTAGTGGCCCCATCTGGCCACCCCTATGAAACAATTGTCCAGGCACCACTGGATGCAAATTCTCTTAAAGGTGCTGTAGGAGATCTTGGAAAAACGGCTCCAGCAAGCTATATTTCTGAACATACGCAACCATGCCTCTCCCTTCAGACCACACCTCGAAACCACGCCTTCAAAACACATGAACGCGCATGCCGTCTGTTGAGGTGTTCAGATCAGATTGAGAACGAAACAAGCCGAGACTGAGAGCTCGTGACATGAGCTAACAACATCATAATGCTACGTTCACACCTAGAGCAGCAGAGGCAGCAAAAGCAACTAGTTTACATGCAAAGTCAATGGTTGATGCGCATCAAGGGGCAGCAAAAGGTCCAAAACTTAAATCCTAGAACAGAGTTTTAATGTTTTTCGGTCTTGGACCCCCAGATCAATGAAGAGACGTGCTAAAGACTCTGATAGAGGGATGCTGACGAATATCGTTCTGTCCCTGTTAAAAGAGAGTTTTTCCTCTCCACTGTCGCTACAAGCATGCTTAGTGTGAGGGATTGCTGAAGAGTCAACGAGTCGGTGCAATCAACTGGTTTTCCTTGTATAGAAAACTTTGAATCAATTTGACTGGATGATCTGGTGAACAGTAAAGTACCTTGAGATTACGTTTGCTGTGAATTGGAGCTACAGACACGGCGCTGCGCCACACAGCTAAAGGGCTCCACAGCGCCATCTACCAGAGTGGGGGTACAAAGGTAGCCCATTTCCCCTCAGTTTCAGGTAAAAATGTTTTGTTTACAAGAAAAATCGATACTAGGAACTAAAAGACTGATATTATATCAGGCAGCCAAAAATCACGATATATTGCCAAAACTATTTTTTCCTCCAAACCCCAACTGGAGGACTGGAACTGCACTAGAGAGAAATCGTCACAGATTCTGCTCTCTGCATTCTCCATGTCCTTCAGCCTGGTGAAATAATATAGGAGTATGGAGACGTGCTGTGGGGCAATGACTGTGGCACATATTATTTGGGGGTGAAATATAATTTCTTTCTCAAATTGGAAAACTACAACAACTAATAAATGTTTTAAATTTAAAGTGAGGATTTCCTGAAATGTTTTCAGTGTGAGACGATTCTAAAAAGATACAGGATTAATTCCTATTAACACATCTTCACCAAGGGTATCATTAAATATGGCAGTATCTCTATACTAGGGGCTTTTATTTTTTGTATATTTGTGGATGGAAACAGAACCAAAACCTGAACTAAAATAAGAAAAAAATCCACTGCAGTGTAAATACGCTTCCTTTTTAAATGGACACCTGGCAGTAATGTCTATCAACCAACAAAAGAGGGAGCTGAAGCTTCACAAACACAGGCTGTGGATGAGGTGGTGAGGGTGAACTGAGTTCACTCCTTTAGTTCACCCCTTTAGTTCACCCCTTTAGTTCATTACTTTAGTTCATTACTTTAGTTCATTCCTCTAGTTCACCCCTTTAGTTCATCCCTTTAGTTCATCCTTAAGTTTATTCCTTTAGTTCATCCCTTTAGTCCACTCCTTTAGTTCACCCCTTCAGTTTATTCCTTTACTTCACCCCTTTAGTTCATCCCTTTAAATCACCCCTTTAGTTCATCCCTTTAGTTCACCCCTTTAGTTCATTCCTTTAGTTCACCCCTTTAGTTCACTCCTTTAGTTCATCCCTTTAGTTCACCCCTTTAGTTAACTCCTTTAGTTCACCCCTTTAGTTCATTACTTTAGTTCACCCCTTTAGTTCATTCCTTTAGTTCATTCCTCTAGTTCATTCCTCTAGTTCACCCCTTTAGTTTATTCCTTTAGTTCATCCCTTTAGTTCACCCCTTTAGTTCATCCCTTAAGTTTAGTCCTTTAATTCATCCCTTTAGTTCACCCCTTTAGTTAACTCCTTTAGTTCACCCCTTTATTTCACCCCTTTAGTTCACCACTTTAGTTCACCCCGTTAGTTCATTCCTTTAGTTCATTCCTCTAGTTCATCCCTTTAGTTCACCCCTTAAGTTTATTCCTTTAGTTCACCCCTTTAGTTCATCCCTTTAGTTCACCCCTTTAGTTCATCCTTAAGTTTATTCCTTTAGTGCATCCCTTTAGTCCACTCCTTTAGTTCACCCCTTTAGTTCATTCCTTTAGTTCATTCCTCTAGTTCATCCCTTTAGTTCACCCCTTAAGTTTATTCCTTTAGTTAACTCCTTTAGTTCACCCCCTTAGTTCACCCCCTTAGTTCATCCTTAAGTTTATTCCTTTAGTTCATCCCTTTAGTCCACTCCTTTAGTTCACCCCTTAAGTTTATTCCTTTACTTCACCCCTTTAGTTCACCCCTTTAGTTCATCCCTTTAGTTCACCCCTTTAGGTCATCCCTTTAGTTCACCCCCTTAGTTCATCCCTTTAGGTCATCCCTTTAGTTCACCCCTTAAGTTTATTCCTTTAGTTCACCCCTTTAGTTCACCCCTTTAGTTCATCCCTTAAGTTTATTCCTTTAGTTCACCCCTT